TTGTCTTCTGTCTTGCATAATTTTACAGTCTAGGTTTCCTTACTTTGCCGATTTTGGTCTCATATTTTTCTTTGACTGTTAGCTTCCCAATGTCTTTAAAGCTTTTTAAAATTTGTCAAGCATTTCTGGTTCTTTTCAGTCATAATGTTGACAACAGATGCCAAGTTTGCCATTATTGGAGGTACTCACAAGAAGTTCATAATTCATTGGCCCAATATTTTTTTCTGAAGAGGGAGGTAAGGTTATAATCTGAGATTAAAAGGGATTTAGATTTGGATAGGGGCCATCTTTTGGAGAGTGGTGAAATTTTGCATTAGATTCTGAGGCAAGATACCTGACCACAGATGATTAAATGAATAAGTAGGTGATTTTGATGACACAACTGAACTTGACAGATATCAGTGGCAAAAAGGGGTAGAAGGGCATATTGTACATCTATGTCTTGATTTTTAAAAATTTAAAAGTAGGTATGATAATCATTACTGCCCTGTCTACCAGAGAAATTTTGAGGACAAAATGAGATCATGGTATATATTTCAAAAGAAATGATGTATGTGAAAGTAAACAATGTGATTGTGCAAATATTGGCTAATTGTATACATGCAGATTTTTAAAAATTGTGTGAGACACAAAATTATCTTCTTTTATTCAAGATAACATATTCATGGAATTGTGTCTTTCAGGAAATTTACTTTTTAGGATCATGGCTGTTTTTTATTTTTTTGTTTGTAGAACTGAAATTCACTGGGGAAACATTTGTGGAAGACAGGTTATGGGTAGGTCAATAACTGATTATACCACACTGGAAGTAAATGGAAGAGAGCATGGAGGGAAAGAAAAAGAGATGGAATGGGAAAATAAGGAAGCACAAAGATTATGAAACCTACTTTGTTATTTCCAAGTCTATTGTTCATTCTTTAAATCTGAGCTTTTGTAAAATATCTTACAGGTGAACATATTGTAACACAGCTATCTTACTCAGGCTAGCTACTGCTGTATGCATATCAAGATCAATCAATGGCCAATGGGTTGCTCCAGAAAGGTTCATCCATAATATAGCAAGCCTAGTTAGTGTCTGATGTGGGCTACTGGTTTATATCCTGGGTCCTGCCATTAGAATGGAAACAGTGTCAGCTAAGTGATTCTAACATTTTCCTTCTGAGCAAAAATGGAATACCTAAGCTCAATAATTTTGTAACATTGTTCATTGTTTGCCATTGTCACATGGGAGTAGATAAAATCTGAAACATGGTTAGTAAAGGTAGAAAAACACAATCATTTTTAAATCTAAATAACAGATTTCCATAATGGATCATATGACACATTTTGGGGATACAAAATATTTCTTTTTTGATGAATTTTAAATATCATAGCTGTGCAATGTTTCACCAGATAAGCATGTACTTTGTAATTCTTTTGTAACCTTTTATTATTTTAAAATGAATCCACTATTGATTTGTTTTAAAACAACAAAGCCCACAGAGTAAAATAATAAATTTTTAAATGTTAAAACACACTGGATATACTTTTGGTTGTCTTAGAAAAAATACACTTCTTAATTTTTTTCTTTCTTGCACACTAAGTCTGAATTTTCCTGCAATTTATACATTTCTGGAAACTTTCTTCTATAAGTTTCTTCAAATCATATTGAATTATTTCCACATCTATTAATTACCATGTTATATGCTATATTCCAAAGATATAGTTAAATATCTTGTGTTTAATTTTTTGTTTTGGATTGCTGATGTTCATAATAAGAATTGGCTTTGATATCACAATTTCTTGGAACATAGTAGATTTCACAATTGAGTATAGTATCATTGTCTACTTATAGGATTGAGATATTGCAAATGTTATGTTTTAGATAGTTGACAAAAAGCAGAGGAAACCATAATTGAAAACTATAGCATGTGATAAAGGCTCAGAATTTATAAGAATTTTTGGACTGTCACAAGAAAAACATGATTGTTTCTCTTAATCCTTTGATCAAACCATTGCTCATAATTATCTACAAAACAAATGCACAGAAAGCACACAGAACAGACATTTTAGATGAAAGATGAGCATGAAAAGATGTTGGTAGAGAAGATGTCACCATGCCAGTACACTTCCCTGAACATAAAACAATAGACTCAGATGAGAAACTTGGTTATTACATATGGAGTTTGGATATGCCCACATTTGTGGGTAAATTTCTTTAGCTATCTAAATGAAAGCATCCCCTAACACCTATTTGCCCATGTGAAAATGGTTGCAATGTTATGGTCAGCACTTAATGAGATAAAACAAAAATAATTCAGGTAGTTGAATAAAAAGGACACATACTGGCTTGGTACATTCCTTGCTGACACAAAGCCATATGTATAATAGTATTTACGTTTGACTTGCAATGTTGTTTTCTTCTTTCACATTACTTGTATCCATGGAGTTAGAAGAACTGTTAAAGATAAGGAGTGGAGCCAAAGAGAAGTATGAAGAGGAAAAACATGCCAATGCCATAGATGGATTTACCATGAATCAAATGAAGTACATCTCAGGGCCCCTCTCTTGTACAAGCCCCTTCTAAGACCCCAAGAGTATTTGTCTCTTGCAATATTTTTCATCTTTTTTAAAATTCATAATCTATTGTTATTTTTCTCATTCTAAATATTTAATTTGTTTATTTTTATTAATAATTTTAAAGAATAACCCCAAACTGTATAATGTCTAGGCTCTTCAAAACTTGAATTCTTTCCTGTTACTTGTGCTTAATAAATAGTCAGTATTGATTAATTTTATTTGATATCCTTCACACTACTACCCCCTTTACTTCCACCCTTAATACAGAAGAATCTGTGGTTACAAGCAAACATTTTGATGAAAATTGATAACATTTAATCATTTCCATGTTAGGAATTAATTTATCACAAATAATTTCATTAGCCAATGATTTTTTTGCAAGGACATTGTGGAGAGAAGTAAGACTTGGTCCTGTTAAGCTATGTTCACATCACAGAACTACAAGTGACCTCAGATGTTATTCACCCATGTTCTTCATTTTATATATGAGAAAACTAAAGATTAGTGAAAAATATTACTGGCTCAATTCATATCTAGGTAGTTAGTGGTAAAGTAGAGATTTTAAGAAAACTAGTTCATGCTCTAGTTTATACTAATTTTATAATATCTTTCCCACTGCATTTATGAGCTTTATTTCCTAACATGTTTTGGATTTATATATTTTGCATAATGATGTTAAAATTCTATTTGACTATCTTTGAGAAAGCAAATGTACTGAATAATATTTTAAATCACCATCAGCATACAATGTCATATTTGTTTTGCATTCAGTATATATCTCTATCCACTCACTTTTATTAAGTCATGTTGAAGTTAGGTGTTTCATGTAACTGTGAAAATAATTTAATTATGCAAAGGTAGATAAGAGTAAAGATTTGGTAAAAGGTGAAAATGATTCTTAAACTAGCAGGATATTTGAAGAGATACTTCATACAATAGCTTGAAAATTTTTTCCATTAAATTATTCTTTCTGTTGGAAAAAATCTGAAAATTATTTTACCCTTTGTTTGGAGAGGTAAGTCATAACTATGTAACTTAAAAAATATAGGAAATTCACATAGACAGACAAAATCATTTGTTAATAGATGAAAATAGCACCCTTAAAAATGCAATCTGACTTCTTTAGAAATTATTCTTTGTAATATTGAACTTAAAATTCCTTACCGCTGTGTCCTGTGAGAATATTTATAACAAATTTCACATATACACATGTAAATAATTTAATAACAATAAATTATCACTAAATCCCAAGTGATTAATTTCCAAGGGTTATGAACAAAAAATCCAGCCAAAAAATGGCTAAAATGGCTAACTAATATAAAGGAAAACATCATACTAGATTGGGAACACAAAAGTGATTATGATTATGATAAGGATTATCATTTACTTAGATAATTCCATTTGCTTAAATTGTAAAAGCATTATGAATTTCTTATACATGTATGATACTGATGCAAGTGTAAATTGAGTAGTTATTCAGTGAAACAATTTATTAATATATATTAAGAAAGCTAAAGATGTTCATAAACCTTGGGCCAATAATTACATCTCATCCTGAAACCGAAAAGCCTTATGTTTGAATCTTCACAATTATATGTATCCATGCATTATTTATAATAATAGCAGAATGATAATATAAAATAATTTTAATAAACAACAATAAAAAATCAAGTAGATTATGTTCTATCACATGGTTAAATCAAACTACATATGTATGTATGTGTGCATGTGTGTTTGATAATTATATAAGTAAAAAATAAAGACAGGAAGAAAATGCATAAATATTGCTAATAGTTAAATATTTTAAATGCTTTTCTAATTTTCCTATAATGAATATTTGATAATTTCAAATAAGAATAATTTACCCTAACAATGAAGTTAAAGAAATGGATCAAATAGCAAAACATATATGTAAGAAAATGTCCATGCAATTAAAACAAAAAATCATATTTCATTTTATAATTCTTGCAGAAATAAGGAAAAGAAATAAGAATCAATATTTGTGGGAATATTGTTAGAATTCTTCTAGATAATTTAAAAGTACAAATAATCTTTAAAACAGTTGTACAAAGTTAATGTAATCATAATCGTGAATATGTCCAAAGAAATTAGCCAAATTTTAGAAATATACTTAACAAAGATAATTATATCAGCTTTATTTTTAGCACTCAAAACTAGCAATCATCTAAATATGACAATAATTGATTGACTAAATTATGGCATATATTTCAATGGTATGTAATATATTTGCTTAAAATTAATATAATTGACTACATGAGAAAACATGAGATTGTACCATTTAATGTATTGCATATTTTGAGAAACTTTAGAAGGAAATTAGAAAATGCATAAATGATTTCTGTTTTAGAATTTGAGAGACATTTATAAACCTTTTATACATTCTTTACATTAATTATAAATCATTGTTTAAAACTGCTTACCACTTGAACCCTAGATGGCCTCTCTTCAGGATTCATGAATGCTGGAATTTGTATTTCAGGTCCTGGGATATCAGGTGGCAGAGCAATTATGTAATGACAGATTTTAGTTACACCCTTGCACTAGAAAAGAAGAAAACAAAATGAAACTCATAATTGATGTTAATTCAGTGTTAATGCATAATTTCTATCTTAAAATTTGACTATGTATTCTAAGTAAGATATTACAAGACTCTCAAGCAGGGTGAAAAGTGTTTTATTTGTGCTACAAATAATAAAGGTTTCCTGAGTGAGTCAAATGTATGATATCAAAGTACAACTGGTGATGAGTGAATAGAGTTGAAAAATGCATTTTAAATGTTCACTTATTCAGGCATTTTTCCATAGGAATTTTATAAAAAGTGTATTTTATATAAGTGCATAAGAAGATAATAAGCATCACTCAGAATCTCACGAATAGAGAAACAAGGTCAATATTAAATTTACTCATTGTGACATCCATAAATGTTTATTTACTTTGGCTTTACTTCAAAATGCATATTTTAACAGTTTTTTATATCCCTGTATAGATAAGACTTTAGGAATTATATTATCACATCCCTTTTTTGGAGGGGTACTGGGATTTGAACTTGGAGGCACTCAACTACTGAGCCACATCTCCAGCCCTATTTTGTATTTTATTTAGTGACAGGGTCTCATTGATTTGCTTAGGACATCATTTTAATACAGAAAAAAACCCTAATGGAAACACAAACTGTGCAAATTTTAACATTTTGTATTAATACAATAATATAATTTGATTTTTAAATGTCAGTTAATGGAAAGGAAAAGAATTAAAAATTCTATGTAGAAGGAGTCATAAATAATGACACAATATACCACCTACCTCTCTATTGAAAACTTTAGTGTGGGCACTATAGCTTACATATAACTCTTTCACTCTTAATCACTTAAAATGTTTCACCATATATAGATCTATATACATATTTGTTGTTGGTGAATATTATGACACAAAATCAATTCTTGAAGTTTCAAGAATATGTAAAAAGAGTAAATTTAACAATAACTTTAAGTAAAGAGAACATTGAAAACAGCAACTAAAATATTAAAAAGGAAGAATAGCCTACACCCATAGAGATTGAAAAAAATTAGTTAAAAAATGTACGTTCTGTCACCAAATATATATATTATTCCTGGTAAATATTTTAATTTGATGTACATATAATTTAAAATAAAAAATAATAATATGACACAGGTTATAGTTTCAGGCATGTTTGTTTTCTAAAGCAGAATCCCAGAATATTTATGTTTTCTATCACCTTAAATAACTTCTAGTCCTATCCATTCATTTTGAAATGGGGAAATGTAGGCTATTACAATGTAACATTTAAGGCAAGAGACTTATCTTCAGGCTGTTTGAACTTCCATTACTGAAATGAGTGCCTAGACCCTAGTAGATATTTGTTAGTTGTCATCTGAATAAATGAAATATAGTTCCAATAGAGAATTTAGGCTCTAACTGGGGTTTATGAATGAATGTCACTAGAAGAATTGTCAACTAAAGGAGAATAAAGTCTGAATTAATTATTAGAAATAAAGCAAAATGGCAGGAAATAAAAATCATCTACCTATTAAGACAATACATGTGAATGCTCTAAACTCTTGAATCTGAAAATTAGAGGGGGCAGAATGGCTTTAAAAGCAGGAACCAAACATATCTTGTTTACAAGAGTTCCATGTTAAAGGCAAAGACATAATCAGGATGAAGGTTAAAGGATGGGAAAAGATATGCCACATAAATTGAGACTGAGAGCTAGCCGTGGTAGCTACTCTCATATCTGATAAAGTAGACTAAACCAAAATTAATTGGAAGAGACCTAAAGGGTCTCTTCAAACTGGTGAAGGGAATCACCCTAAAATAAGATACAATGACTGTAAATATTTATGCCTCAATCAACATTGCACCAATATACATAAAAGAAAACCTTCTCATTATTAAGAATCAGGAGACCATAAGACAATTCTACAGGATGACTACCACACACCTCTCTGAGCAATAGATAGAACAAATTATCTAGACATAGATAATAGACATATTCCTAGACATAGATGTAGACATAGATTATCTAGACATATTCATAAACAAAATATTATAAATTAAATGGACCTAAAAGACATCTATAGACTATTTCACCCATCAACAACCAAATTTGGAGCATACATCAAACAAATGCTTCTCAATTTCAAGAATAAAATAAGCCACAACACAATAATATTGGAATCATTAATACACCTTTATCATCATTCGCTAGAGCTTCCAAACAAAAATTAAATTAAAAAAACCCACAGGACTAAAAAATGCAATTGATAATTTATTTAGACTTAAGCAACACATATAGAATATTTCATCCATCAAAGATTGAATATACTATCTTAGCAGTACATGGATCCTTCTCTAAAACTGACCATATCTTAGGCCATAAAGCAATTTTTAGCAAATACAAAAAAACAGAGATAATATCTTGCATTTTATCAGACAACCATAAAATAAAAAATATAAGCCACTCTAATACCTGGATGTTAAATAATGCACTATTGAATAATTAATGTAATCAATGATGAAATAAAAAAAAATGGAGATAAATGAGAATAGTAACACAACATATCAAAATATCTGGGATACTATAAAGGTGGTTCTAAGAAGAAAGTCCAATGCATTGAACTCTTTCATTAAAAAAATAAAATGTCACCAAACAAATAATCTAACATTACATCTCAAGGCACAGAAAAAGAACAAGTCAACATAAAAAGTAGTAAAAGAGAGGAAATAATTAATATCAGAGGTGAAATCAACATAATTGAAATAAACACATAAAAAAATAAAAAATTTAACCACACAAAAATTTTGTTCTTTAAAAAAATAAATAAAATTGATATATCCTTAGCCAAATTAACCACGAGAAAGAGGGAAAACTCAAATTTCTACAATCCTTGATGAAAAAGGAAATATCACCACAGAAACTACTGAAATAAAGATGATAATCAGGAATAATTTTGAAAATTTATATTCTAATAAAATAGAAAATCTTGAAGATGTTAAAAATTTCTAGAGAATGTTACTACACAAGTTGAATCAGTAGAACATAGAAAATTTACACAGATTAATTTCAAACAATGAAAATGAAAATACCATCAAAATACTAATAAATAAAAGCCCAGAACAAGATGGATTCTCAGCCAAGTTCTACCAAACCTTCAAAGAGGAAGTAACAATAATACTCTTTAAATTATTCCAAGAAAGAGAAAATGAGGGACTCTTTACAAACTCATTTTATGAAGTGATTATCTCCCTGTTAACAAAACTAGCCAAAGATACATGAAAAAAAAAGAAAATTCCAGATCATTATACCTGATGAACATAGATGCAAAAATTTTTAATAAAATACTGGTAAATCACATACAAAAAACATATTTAACAAAATAGTGCACTATGATCAAGTGGGTTTCATCACAGGCATACAAGGTTGATTCAACATACAGAAATCATGAAACATAATTTACTACATCAATAGACTTAAAGAATCATGTGATCATCTCAATAGATGCAGAATAAGCATTTGATATAACAATATAGCATTCATTCATGTTCAGAGCACTAGAAAAAATAGGGATAGTAGAAACATACCTCAACATTGTAAAAGCCATACACATTAAAACAAGGCCAACATCATTCTAAATGGAGAAAAATTCAAGCATGGCCTCAAAAATATTGGAACAATGTAGGAATAGATAACCTTTTTTACCATATCTATTCAACATTTTTCTTAAAACACTATCCAGAACAATTAAGCTAAAGAAAGAAATTAAAAGAATACAAATAGCAAAAGAAGAGTTCAAACTAACCCTATTTACTGATGACATAATCTTATATTTAGAAGAACTCCACCATAGAACTTCTAGAACTCATAAATGAATTCAGAAAAGTAGCAGGATATATAATCAACACCCATAGATTTTGCTCCTATACACCAATGGTGAATCAGCTGAGATAAATTAGAAAAATTATCCCATTCACAACAACATTAATAAAAATTAAAATACTTTGAAATCAATCTAACAAAACAGTGAAAGTCCTCTAGAATGATTACCACAGAACACTACAGAAAGAAATTGAAGATCTTAGAAGAAGGAAAGCTCTCCCATGATCTTGGTCAAGCAGAATTAATATCTTCAAAATGGCCATACTACTGAAAGTACTGTGAAGATTTAATTCAATTCCTATTAAAATTCCAGTGACAATCTTCATAGAAATAGGAAAAGGAGTTGCAAAATTCATTTGGATAAGAGGCCCAGAATAGCCAAAGCAACCCTTAGTGAGAAAAATGAAGTAGGAGGCATCAAAATAGGAGACCTTAAATTATACCACAGAGCTACAGTAATAAAAACAGAATGATATGTCCTATTATACCTAGTTTTCCTAGTGTTTTGAACATGAAGGTGTGCTGTGTTTTTCACAAATGCTTTTTCTTCATCTATTGAGATGATCGTATGATTATTTTCTTCAAATATATTCATGTGATGAATTATGTTTATTGATGGCCATATGCCAAACCAACCTTGCATCCTTGGGATGAATGCCACTTGATTATGGTGCACTATCATTTTTTAAAAAAAATTACTTATAAGCGGACACAATATCTATATCTATATCCATATCTATCTATCTATCTATCTATATATATATATATATATTTTTTTTTTGTGGTGCTGAGGATTGAATCCAGTGCCTCATGCATGCTAGGTGAGTGCTCTACCTCTGAGCAACAACCCCAGCCCTGTGGTGCACTATCTTTTAAATATGTTTTTGTATGAAATTTGCCAGAATTTTATGGAGAATTTTTGCATTTATTTTCATCAGGGATATTGGTCTGAAGTTTTCTTTCCTTGATGTGTCTGTCTGGTTTTGGTATCAGGGTGATACTAGCTTCACAGAATGAGTTTGGAAGGTTATATTCCTTTCCTATTTCATGGAGAAATTTGAGGAATAATGGTTTTATTTCTTCATTGTCGAACTTTGCTTTGAATCCATCTAGTCCTGGGTTCTTCTTGATTGGTAGGGCTTT